TGAGATGCATTATCATTGTGCCACTGGTCTCCATCCTACCTCTTCTCTTTATATTCCTTTTTCCCCTCTTCGCTTTTTCCAGAGAGACTGTGAAGAAAATCTAAATATATTATTATATGGTTTAATTTTATCTTGGAAGCAGCAACATTAGGTGCTTGTGCAAAGACTGATGGACCAAATGGAAGTTGCAGACCAATGTTTGGTCCCGGATAAGGAAAAGGAAGCTAATCCCTAGTCATTGCATGCTACTCCACTGTGCTCTCTGGTCGCCACTGTCCATTTCTTCAGTGTCATCTCACGGATGAAGGTAGAGGTTTTCTCTCTGCATATGCATATCGCAGAGTCTAATAGAACATCATACCAGCAGCCTCTGTCATTATTTGTCACCATTGTTGAAGTCAGAGCTTAAAACTTGTGAAAAGGCTTGAGGCACCCATTTACCATAAATCTTTTATTGGCTACCAATCACTTCTTACATTGTTTCCGTTGCTATTTCCTGTCCCATTTTCTTTTTTAAGATTTAATATGGTGTGTGTGTGTGTGTGTGTGTGTGTGTGTGTGTGTGTGTTGGCTGGAGAGTGTGTGAGAAAGTACTCCCATCTGTTGGTTCAATCTCTGAATACACTCAGGATGGAGAGCTAGATTGGGGTCCCATCTGGAAGCCAAGGACTCAATCTAGGTATCCCTGTATCATCATGGCCATCTTCCGGGTCCCCTGCAGCAGGAAGCTGGGGTCAGGAGCAGGAGGTGGAAAGCAGGTATTGAACCCAGTCTGTCCAATTTGGATGTAGGTGTCATAACTGCGAGGCCAAATGCCTGTTGCGACTTGGAATCCTAAAAACACAGCAAACATGGCCGTCCTGCCTTCCACTGTCATTTTGCTCTAAGTGACTGTTTTGCTTCTAAATACAGGCAGAAATTATATATATTTAAGTTAATTATACCACTATTATCTAGGTTGAGTCATTTTATTTTCTATTAATTTGGGATTTGGAGGCAAGAGTTTGAAAACACAGTAACTGAATTGCAGAGCACAAAATGATATTTTGTTTTTCTCTTGCCTTAAATCTTCTTTTATCTTCTGCAGAGATGAAGAATATAATATCCAGAATAGCACAAAGCCAACCAAATATCAAAATAACAGAGATTCAAAAAAGGAAATCAAAGTTTTCCCATATGAGTGGACAACCCTCTATTTCAACACTCATTTGATTTTAGTTTTCCTTTCTAAAAGAAATGCCACATATTAAGGAACATAATGCTAATCGCAGCAAGCAATACACTCAATGAATAATTTTATGTACATCCGTATCATGATTGTGGCATATTCACAATGTAAATAAGTGTTGGGAAACCTAGAAGAGGGTTACTGACCGTCATGATTACAGAGGATCTTCTTGATTACAGTTTCTTGTGGAACTGGCCAACGTCAGAGTATTAATCAATCAAGTTACAAAAGTTGATAGGTCAGTTTACTCATTTACTAACTTAAGGATATTTAAAAGGAATTTTAAGTTTCCATTGCTAAACTGGGGTTTTCAAAACTTCATAGATACATATTTTAAAAGAATGATGTTGGCATTTCATATTAGAAATTTGAAAACTATTAGAAACATATACACATTACACTCTTACTATGCACTAAGGCTTATGTTCTTTGAAAATATGGTCTGTCTCTCATGTTAATGTGAAATCAAATGTGATGGATGCTGTATGTATTTTGATTTTCATTGTTATGTGTATATATGTGCTTCCCATATATCAAAATGAAACAACATATGAACGTTTTAAGAAATCTGGCCTGGAGGGACTGTCTGAAGGCCTTCAAGGCCTTCAGTCCCCTCTGATGTGATACACTCACCCCCTGGTGGCAACTCTTAGAAGACAGTGTATGCAGTAAAGAAAACTGGTCCAAAAGTCCTCTCCAGAATTATCTATAAAAGAAAAATACAGCTGATTTTGTGTAATGCTCTCCTCAAGCTCCTTTGTATATGTTTCCTAAAACGCCAGTTTTGTTTTTGTTACAAAACAACTATTCTCAAGCAAAACAACAGGAAATATAGAGAAGCAGTAAATCACTCATTCTTCTCAACGGCTTCTAAGAGTGGCCACTAGTAACATCTCGGATATGAATCCTGCTAGCATGTTCAAAATATTTGTATAGTTTTTCCTAGCATAAACCATCCCTATTTTTAAAATTTCCAATTTTACTGAAATTTCTCTCTCTGTCTCAACTATTCCTGCAATTAGTACTTTTAAGTGTGGAGAGCAGTTCATGATCTGAGAAATAAGCCATCATTGCCTGTTAGACTCACTTGGAACCCACAAACATCCCCAGTGTCCAAACATGGTTAGTTCTCATTCCCCTTTGATTCAAGGTGGCCAGTTCACAGCTCAAAAAAAAGGCATTCTCGGCTAAGCGTAGTATTTTGCTGAGTTCAGAAAATGATAAATACAGTTAGCAAATGTGGTAAAGATAAAAAGACACAACTTTTGTATATCTTATGGAGAATATAGATGTTAAAATGTTTCCCATTTTCAAATTGTATTATTTTAAATGTAATAGGTATTTACCAATTCCAGGTCATCCCCATATCAAATACATCACTCACATATATTTATATTTTTCATTTCATGGGTTGCCTGTCACCAGCACTCTCGTCCAAAATGAAATGAATGCCTGGAAAAGTTCTGGCTGTTTCCTACAAAATGAAGCACAGACCTAATTTATCAGCCAGCAACCCTACTTATAGATATCTATCCAAGAGAAAAGAAAACATATATCTATAAAAGATTTACACAAGAATGCTTATATGGCAGCTTTATTTGCAATAGCCCCAAAGTGGAAACAGTCCAGGTGTCTGTCAAAAGGAGGCCGGATCAGCAAACTGGGATGTATTCATAAGGCAAAATTCTACTTGGCAATAAAAAGAAATACACTACTAACTACATGACAACGCTGACCACTTTGCATGGTGAGAGATAGTGTACCCCCAAAATACACGTGCTCTAGAAACTTGGAAATTCACCTATTTTAGAAGGAAACTGGAAGAGTGGGTGCCTCTGCAGTATAAGATAAATAATGGGCGTCAGGGGTGGGGAGAATGTGGGGAGGCCTGGTGCAATAGCCTAGTGGCTAAATCCTCCCTTTGCATACATGGGAATCCCACATGGGCACTGGTTTGTGTCCCAGTTGCTCCACCTTGCATCCAGCTCCCTGCTTGTGGCCTGGGAAAGCAGTAGGGATCGGCCCAAATCCTTGGGACCTTGCACCTGTGTCGGAGATCTGGAAGAAGCTCCTGGCGTCAGATCAGGTCAGCTCTGGCTGTTACTTCCATTTGGGGAGTGAACCAACAGACGGATCTTTGTCTCACCTTCTCTCTGTAAATAGGCCCTTACAATAAAAATAAATAAATCTTAAAAAAGAAAAATGGGACAGGGAATAGCAAAGGAAACTTTTTGGGATGATGGCATTGGCTTATGCCTCAGAAGTTTTGGTTATACCGGTGTATATATTTGTCAAATTTAATGACTGTGTGCTTAAAATATATACACTTCATTATATATAGATTTTATCTAAAATGAGAAATGTAAACAAACATCTAATGGTAGATAATAACATACGCACTGAATATTTTTGGGGTGTACATAGTGCTTGCAATGAACTTCGAAATGTATGTACAAATAACATTTGTTGGAGAGACGGATGATGACAAGGCAATATAAATTGTTAATCTAATAGAATCTAGGTGGCTGTGTATATAGGGGTTCACTTAAAAATTATTATAATTTTGCCAAATATTTCAAAACAGAATTTTTATTGTTTTAATTTTAATGAAGATTCATTTATTTGAAATTCAGAATTGCACAAGAAAGATCTTCCATCTTCTAGTTCACTCCTCAAATGGCTATAGCAGTCAGAGCTGGGCTACTCTGAAGTGAGGAGCCAGGAGCTCTTTGTGGGTCTCCCACATGGTGCAGGGCCCCAAAACCTTGGACCATCTTCTGCTGCTTTACCAGGTCATTAGCAGAGAGCTGGGTTGGAAATGGAGTAGCTGGCACGTGAACAGATGTCAATATGAGAGTCTTGTGCTGCAGACAGAGGACTAGCTTGCTATGCCATCATACTTGTCCTGGAAAAAGTATTATAAAAAGGAATAGCAGATTTCTAAGCTGGAAGACTTAAAAGAGAGAATTTAGAAACGAAGAGGATGGCTTGGCAAGAGGTAATGGTGTAACTGACAGTTCTGGAATGCCTCGGAATTTCCAAGTCATTCACGCACACCTTCCTGTCACATTTCATTTGATCTTTGCCAGCACTGATAGTCTGTATTCAGCACCACACTCACTTTCAGTGGAGAAAGTGGAGACTCAGAGAAGTTAGATGATTTGCCCAAGGTCACAAAACCAGGAGCTTGACTGATTACATAATTTGTAAGCCTAAAGCAAAGGGCAAATTCCGGGTCCCTTAATTAATGGCAAAGTATGACAGCAGGAACAGAGGGACTTTCTGAGACTTTCTGGGAGACACAGCTTGCGCGCACAGGAAATGTGAGACATTTATGTTTGTGCTCAATGCGTGGTGCCCAAGGCTGATATTGGTCCTGTAACTGGTTAAAAATGGAATTGGAGGTTAGGAAGGCCTTTTGTGATGCCTGGTGTTTATTTTTAAGGAGAATTACTAAGTCCATATTTTGAATACAGTTATTAAAAATGCCAGAAAAGTCTTTCACATCCATGCAAGCTAATTCATCAGGCAAGCTTTGACGACCATCTGGACTTTTCCCACGACAGCCTCTAGAGGGCGGTCTCTTTGCCTGCTAATCCTCACAGGTGCATCCGCCCCAGCCTTCCCGCTGGCCCCTGGCCCCGCCTCCGGCTTTACCCCGCCCCCGAATGGCACCGCCCCTTTACGTCATTTCCTCAAGTCCTTGTTTTTGTCCCGCCTTTCAGCGCCGCGTACCGGAAAAGCTGCCTCGGGGCGCTCTGGCCTGCCGGAGGACTTGCCCTCGGTGTCCGGGGCGGTTCCGGATTGCACTTGGCAGCCGTGGGCGGGTCTAAGGAGACCAAGTTTTCGGGTTTGTAGGTTTGTTGTGTTTCAGCCATGGGGCAACAGGATGTGTGGAGGCTCCTGTGGAGGTGAGTGAGGGTGCGGGCGGCCGCGGGCGTGCTGGTCAGCTCGCTGGCCGAGGTGCGAGAAGGGGCCGGCGTGGAGATTGTGGGGGAGCCCAGCCCCTTTTCGCCCCCGTGTGTCGGCTTTCCTGGTTCTCGCCGCGACGCCCTGCTTGTCTGGCCCTTGCATGCTTTCTGTCCTCTGGCTCCGGCTCTTGTTGGCGTTCCTCCGGCGGTGGACACGGTCGGGAGTGTGGCCTGGTTAGTGTCCCGGCGGACACTGTGCTCGCGGCGCCCGGGACTCTCAGGCTCAGGTTGTGGACACTTGGCATGAGCGTCAGGAACCGGGTGGCAGTCGTTTCGCAAAGTTGGGCCGCGAGGGTGTCGGACGCCACTGCCTGGGCAGGTGTGCCACGGCGGCCAGCAGCTGTGCGTCTGCAAAACGGACGACCGTGCTGTTAGCGCCTAAGCACGCTTACTGCTAAGACAGGAGCGTTTGAGAAGTTATTGCTTAGAACAGGAGTGTTTGGGAACAGTTACTTCTTTAGGGGAAAGGCTGCAGTTGTGTAACATTGTATCCGCAGACCTGATTCTAAGATGTTTGTTACTTTTTTGTTGCTGTTCTGTTTAAAAACAAGAAAGAACCTTTTGATACCTGAAAAGTGTTGCTGCATTACAGAAATCGGTGCCTGTAATGATTGCTTAAAAAAAAAATTGTTTCGTGAAGTTCTGAGCTGGTTGAGGAACAAATTAGAAAAACATGTTAATGAAGTTAACTAGGTGGGGAAGACCTGTTAGTTCCTACACCTCAGGTAGGCTTTCTTTCACCCCACATTTCCACATGTGGATCGAATCTGCGAATCTGCGAGTCGGCGAAGGCCAGGGTCTGTTTGAGAGTGCTGGCCAGAGATGCTTTCACCAGGTCTGTCTGTGGAGTGGACATAAAGACTGGAGGCCAAGGTTGCCAGGGCTAAAACATCCTCACACCTGCCTGAGGGAACAGGGTACCCTAGAGGACCTGGGGGTGAACTAAGGTTTCTGTGCTTTGGTTGACACTGTTGGGCAATCGCACTTGAACTGCAGCTTCTCTTGGCCTCCCTGGCACTGCTGTCACTTTCCTTTCCCAGGTGAGTGTCCCTTATCCAAAATGCCTGGGGTCACAGTGTATGAGAGTGTGTTGTGGAGACGGATCTCAAGTTTACACACTAATGTATCCATTGCACACACATAACATCACCCATGGCTCAGCTCTGACCTGTCCTAGGAGGTCAAGTGTGGAATTTTCCACTTGTGGCCCTGTTTGTGCTCAGAGTTTTCGGAATAGGGGTGCTCAGTCTACAATGCTCCTTGTCTTGCCCCAGTGGCAGCTCAGTCCTTGGATTTTTTTCTGTCCCCAAATCACTTCTCTGAAGATAACTCTAATTTGTATGTCTAACCTGATTTGTCCTGATTGGTGTTAGCCACAATCATTTGTTTCAAATGTGCTTCCAAATAAGCAAATCACTGCACTTCAACATTTTGTTGACCGAAGTAAAATCAATTTAAGTTGAGTGTAAGATTTGCTTATTTGGTGATGAGGGCTGCGGTGACTGGGCATGGTCTCAGGAAGCCGGGGGTGACCCCAGGAACCGGTACATGGGCCGGTGAATGTTATTCCAGAGATTGTAGTTTGTTCCAGTTTAAAGGGTCAATCCTTGCCAGGTGGATAAGTTCAAAAGTTTAGCTTGGGACATACCACAAATGCTGTCTCAAATTCGAGCAGTGAGAACTTATTAATTATGATTACTATTTGCCTTGAGAAGCAGAAAGTCATGGTGAGTGGCAAGCCTGCTGGTTTGCCCCCCCAGATGCCTATGCTGGCTGGAGCTGAAGCCAGGAGCTGGGAACACAATCCAGGGCTCCCATGTGGCCAGCAACGTCCCCGCTGGTGGAGTCTTTACTCACTGCCTCGAAGGGTGCGTGTTGGCAGAAGGCTCTAACTGGGAGTGGAGCCATGACTAGAACCATATGGGATGGATTCTGCTCAAGTCAAACACCTGTTCTCCCCTGCCCCCCAGCTGAATCCTGTTTAATAATGACTTCACTCTGACTCCATTTGAAGTGATCCAGAGCAGTGCTCCTCCACTTTATTTTCCATGGCAATTGACACACAAATGCAACCCTCACTTCTCAGTTCTTTCTCTTGGCATTTGTTGAAAGCAAACTTCCCTCTACTTGTGTACTCTCCAAATAGCTGCAGTAGCCTGGTCTGGACCAGGCCAAAGCCAGGGATTTCATCCTGGACTCCATGTTGGTGGCAGGGATGCAAGCACTTGGGCCATCTTCTGTCTCCCAGGTGTGGTGGCAGGGAGCTGGATTGGAAGCTGAGCAGCTGAGATTGGAACTAGCATCTTGGAGTGAGATGCTGGTGGCGGAAGAGGCTGAGTGCACTGTGCTGGGACACTGCGATTTGGCTCTTTTACATGACTAAAATCCTCTAAACTCCCAGACCTTACCTCTTCCAGCCTGTTAAAATGTGAACAATTCTGGCAAGTGTTTGGCATAGGAAGAATGATCAAAGGACTTTGATTCCCTGCTTTGCATGTGGGAGAACAGGATAGAATTCTTGGCTGTTGGCTTAATGGGGATTTGCGGGGAGTGAAGCAGTGGATGGAAGATTCCTGTTTATTTTATCCTATCTCTCTGACTTTCAAATAAAACGAAAATGAATTTTAAAAATTGACAAATACTCCCAAATTTATATCACTGTTGATCTTGGAGAAACTTGATTGACAGGGACCAGCATTGTAGTATAGCAGCTAAAGCTGTTGGCTGTAGTGCTGGCATCTCAAATGGGTGCTGGTTCATGTCCTGGATGCTTTACTTCCTGTTCAGTCCCCTGCTATGGTGTGGGAAAAGCAGCAAAAGATGCCCCAAGTTTTTGGATCCCAGATACCCACATGGGAGACCTGGGAGAAGCTTCTAGCTTCTACCTGTCACCTGGCTTACCCCTAGTCATTGCAGCCATCTGTGTAGTGAACCAGCAGACGGAAGGTCTGTCTTTCCTTTTTTTTTGGTAACTGATTTTCAAATAAATGAATCTTTAAACAAGATAAAGCAACATACCCTTGATTGCTGGCCTTACCTTTTTCCCAGTTAGAGTAGGTTTTACACATGACTTCCTGATGAATGCTGCTCAAGTTCGACTTCAGTGCTCACTGCCTGTCTCGGAAGCTTGCAGATATACCCTCTGATGGAATTAAGGCTACCAGCTGGGCAAAGATTTGGCCTTGCTTCATTTTATAAATAAAACAAGATTTACTCCGTTTCTGTTGGGAGGCACTGTTCTAGGAATTTGTATTACCTAGACTACATGATGCTCTTATTGTAGCTTTCTGTGAGGTCCTTGACCTGTGAAGCAGAATAGACATGCAGCAAATACTAAGTGAGGAGTGTTATTTAGTTACCATCTCTGATAAGTGTTTCAAAGGAAAAGTACAGATGTGGAAAAACCTGATTTAGTGAGGGAGAAGCGCCAGGGAGGCTGGAGCACATGGGCCTCTGCCATCCCTGTGGGACACAAACATGAAGTTTGGGGTCTTCCCTTTGTCCTAGCACAGCCCTGATTATCGTGGGCGTTTAAGGAGTGATAGAGCTGACAGAAGACCTCGTTCTGTGTCTGTACCTCTCCAAAATGTGTAGGATGAGGTTGTAGTGCAGTGGATTAAGCTGCTGCCTGCAATACTGGTGCCCATATTGGAGCACCTCTTTGCGTCGCTCCCTGCTACTCTGTTTCTGATCCAGCTCCATAACAGTGCACCTGGAAAGTAGCAGAAGATGCTCTACCAAGCCCATGGAGACTTGGATGAGGTTCTAGGATCCTGGCTTCAACCTGGACCAGCCCAGGCCCTCACTGTCATTTGGGGAGTAAACCATGGATGGAAGTTTTCTCTCTCTCTCAATACGAATGTCTTTAAAAAAAAAAATGCAGACAGAGTTTCCATAGCTGCCAGTATCTCTGAGAAAGCTGGAAAATTATATGTTTTAGATGACATCTCTTGGAAGTATTTGTAATTTTAAAAATACCATGCTGGGAGCCAGCCTTTTGATGCAGCAGGACAAGCCACTTCTTGTGACTCCAGGAGCCCATCTTGGGTTATCAGTTTAAGTCCAGCTGCTCTGCTTCTAGTCTAGCTCCCTGATGGTGTACCTGGGAGAATAGCGGAAGATCACACATCTGGGATGCCCAGATTGAGTAGTGGGCTGCCAGCTTCTGCCTGGCCTTGCCCTGGCCGTTGAAGGTATTTGGGAGGTGAACTTACAGATGGAAGACTTTTTTTTTTTAAGATTTGTTTATTTTTGTTGGAAAATCAGATATACAGGGAGGAGAGAGAGGAAGATCCTCCATCCGATGATTCACCCCTCAAGTGGCTGCGACAGCCGGAGCTGAGCCCGTCTGAAGCCAGGAGCCTCCACTGGGTCTCCCACATGGGTACATGGGCCCCAGGCCTTGGGCCATCCTCCATTACTTTCCTAGACCATGAGGCAAGGAGCTAGAAGGGAAGCAGGGGCCGGGGCATGAACTGGCGACCATATGGTCTCCCGACACATGCAAGGTGAGGATTTAGGTCACCGTGATGGACCCGGAAGATCTTTTGATTTCTCCCTCCCTCTCTCTGTCCTCCCTTGCTCTGTTAGACTTTCAAATAAAGTAATAAATCCAAAATCCACCTGATTTTTAAAACTGGAAGCACCATTTCCCGCTCCCCTTGCCCCGAAACACTGCAGACTCGGGAGGCAGGCAGCCTTCTGCTCCGTAGTTTTCAGCTACAGCTTTCTCATTTATTTCCCACAGAAAATGGGAGGGTTTCTGTGCCCCGGTGTCTGTGCATGGCTTCCTGATGTGTGCACTCACCGCTGTCTCTGCAAGTACCGTCTGTCTTTATTCTCTGTTGTTCAATTTTCCTGTTTCGATAAGTAGACACTCAAAATCAGATTTCATTCTTCAAACCGACCCGCATGCTTCTCTCTATTTTCAGTACCTGCTT